CCGTTATTAATTTAGACTAAAGCACAAATTTTAAAAATTGATGATTAAACTGTAACATATCGGATACTTTAGATATCATTAGTTTAGTTGACTTAAAAGCAACATGTACTTAAGAAATAAGTTGTGGAGTTTACTTGGAAACCGCAGTGGTAATTTGTTCCGGGAAAGTTGATAGGCAGAGAAAGGGTTCCCAACACTAGCTTAAAGAATTCAGGCATGAATTCCCCAGACATTGACTCCCATTCAATACTTGCAATTTGGTTAAGTGACGACAAAAATTCCATCTGAACAACAAACAATGTGCAACACAAGTACCTTAAAAACAGTTCAACATTGTGAAAAAGAAAAAGAAAATGACTAAATCAAACACCTCTTTGGTTTTTTGTTGAATGTCAATGAGTGTGTTGTCCCAATTGCTGAGGTGGCACCTCATGAAGTCATCAAGTTTGGGCAAGAGTTGGGATCTGATGATGGAGGGGCACAGGAGAGAAAGCAAAGCAGCTCGGATGTGCCTGTGGGTGGAGCCATGAACAGCAGCAATGTTGGATTTGCCTAAGATGTCAAGCATGGACTGTGGGTAGCCAGGTACAAGGCCTCTTGACTCATTCATGAGTATGTATCTGTTTGTTTCTGGGTCCATTGATACTATGGTGGGGCATCCCAGTATGTGTGATTTGAAAAAACTCCCATACCTTTTACAGTGACAGTAAAAAATATATATATTAACCCACTATGTATAGTGGTCTTCCATACTTATCAACTCCATGAAATCCATGAGGATAGCATTTCTTAACCTCTTTGTACTCTTCGAACTTAAATTCCTGTAGTATATATTAAACAAAGAATTCCACAATCTTAAATTGAATATGCATAGTTTTGGTGCTTTGAACTTCTCATCCTAAATATAGCATGATTTTAAAAAACTAATCAATCTTCTTAATTACAGACATTCAAGCTGATGTGTTTACTTGTCAGCTAACTCCTCAAAAAATCAAAATACATGTGAGGATATCAATGAATTAACCTATAATGAGACTTCTATGCCATGGAGAGTTGTGTATGCCAGATGTGGAGACTTGTTTTTGTCTCAAACTAGAATAACCCCCAAATCCTAGGACGTAGTGTCAAATCCTAGAGCATAGTGACACATTAATAGCACAAATTTTAGCAGATTGTAAAACTTAAATTTTACTTTTCCTTTTTTAATATGCTCCGTTTTTTCTTTCCTGGCTTTTGGTACTAAATTAGAGGCATACTGCAGGAACCATACAACTTAGCAGTTAGAATAATTTAATTTAACAATTTTACTATTATTTTTTTTATTAAAAAAAAATTTACTAATATGTTAAGTTCAATGAGGTAAGCATCATAATTTGTGTTTTTACAGTTAGGCATCATCAATATTCATAGAGAAACAGTCATTATCTTATCGTCATGATGCTTCCAAACGGCATCAAAAGCATATATTATACACAGGTTTCAAAATTCACCAACTCAAAAAAAAGAGAGAGACTTCCTGTCTAGACCTGCCATAGTAATTTGAGTGAATGCATATTAGTACCTATTCTTCATAAGCAACAACCTTTTCAAGGGAAAAAATTGAAAATAAATCAATTATATTATCTAAGGACTGCAAATATGATCTAGACTTCCACTCATGGGCATCAAAATAGTTCCAACAACAAATTGCTACAGGTAGATAGTCTGTAATTCACCTTTACAATTGTATCAACTTCAAATTCTTCTCGCCATTTAAGATATTGTAAAAACATATCTTTTTCTTTCATCAGATCAAAATCCCTCATTCGCAAAAATCTAACATGACATCATGGAAGAAAACCACTGTAAATATATGTAATAGTAAAATTACTCCAAACAGAACATCATCTTTGCCTGATTCACACTTCACCACACAATTCTCAAACAATGCTACATAAAGAGCTTAACAAACTTCATTGAAACTACTTCATCCCAGAAGGAGGCTAATTATTTATGTATGTAAAAATGTCACAGCAGAAACATACCGTAAAAGTGTGTGGTAATCACTGTGTTTCCCTGGCAGATGGCCCTCGAGCAAAAGCAATTCACGGAAAGATTGAACAATTTGATCATCTTTTGGATCACGAGCTTGTTTGGGACTGCTAGCAAGCTTTGGCTCTTTCTAATTCTCTTTAGTGAATCCCGAATCTTGAGTGGGTAAGACAACATGGACTTGCAATTTAAGTTTAATGAAGACAATTTCTTGTACTCCTTTTGAGGAGGTAAATTCCAATGGCTTTCTATAGGTGGATAGATTGATTTAGCTTTCTCTTTAGCAGAATTAGTATCCTCAAAACTAGAGGACTGCTTGCTTCTCACAGAACCTTTTGATATAACTATTTCCTTATTTCTCTCCCTTGAATTATGCATATGTACTTATCAAAGCTATCGAGGAATGAAAAAGAAGGAGAATTTCTTCTTTCACATCCAATCCTATTGTACCCAAATCATGTTCTTGCTTAGAAATTATCTATAACCAACATTTCAAAGTTATGTAACGGAAACATGCAAGAGCAGAATCTATAGCAGCAAGAACACAACAACTCCCTCCTAGAACTCTGTTGAATCCGAAGATTACCTGAATATAATAATAGAAGGTAAAGAAAACTGTCAAAAAAATTCTGATATGACTATTTCCCTAAATCTGTTCTTTGATTTATGCATATGCACATATAAAACGGACAATAACTTCTTCTTCTAAATCCAATCCTTCCATACCCAGATCAAGTTTATTTATTTATTTATTTATTAAATGACCTAGACTACAACAAGGTCAATTAAATCCCTCGAATTCAAACTAAAAAAATATCATATAAACCAGTTGGCATCAAATTTAGGAGGGCAAGAGAAAAGTACAACCTAAGAATGTCAAAAAAAAAAAGTCACGTTAACGTAGAAGTGGCAAATAAAAAACATTAGAGAAACCCATTTGAGAAAAAGCACGAAAATGAATTTAAATGCAGAGGTAATACAAACCCAATTAAGAATGAGTAAGTGTATCGAGTTTGAAGGAGAGGAGATACTAAGAAAAAGAAACAAAAATGGAATTCTGTGGCGAATGAACAAAGCAGAGAATCGAGTGAACAAGATGGAGGAGATTGAAAGCAATGTTGGGGCATCGAATGCCATGCTTCGTCGTTCGTCATCGAATTCGAATTTTGGTTGTTTTTGAATATCAAGGAACAGATAAAAAGTGAAGTCTCCATGTTTAACGACTCTTCTTGTGTCGTCTGTCTCTGTCTCAACTATCAAAGGCGCCAAAAACCCTACTTATGCAAAATCTTAATTCATCTTCTTAATTGTTCACAGTCTGCATTTTATTTTAGCATAATACAGTTATATCTTGATTTAATTTTTGGATAAAATGTGAATTGATAGAAAATGTAAATGATTTTACTTTTTTACCCTCATGTTGTAATTACATTCTTATCACATGATTAGATTCTATTAAAAATCTAAACAATTAAGTAACAGAAAGGGAACATTGACTCTTGTACATGGACCAAAGTGAAATTTTACCAAAGTATAGGGGTTGACTGTCACAAATTCATGTGTAAGGACTAAAGTAGGATTTGATCAGAAGTGCAAGGGGTTGATTGTCATGATTTCATGTGTAAGGATCAAAGTGAGATTTGGTGCAAAATGCAGGAGTGCAAAGTGTCAACCGGTCGGACGTCCCGTCAGGCAAAATTTAAAAAAAAAAAAATCTGAAAAGCGCGACTGTGCAGAGAACTCTGTAGAGTTTTAGAAACGTGTTTTGAAAACACTTTCCAAACACCATTCTGAAATCACTATGTAGAATCATATTTCAAAAACACAAACAAACAGAGCGTAAGGTAGTGTGCGCCAAACATGGACTGCTTTGCCAGATTTCAGAGTCGCCACCTAAATATTTTATTTTGAAAAAATTAGGAAACCCTAACTCGTGCCTAAGGCCACATGTTCTTCATTACCAAAGTTGCCTCAGCTCGGGAACTTGGCACGAGAGAGGAAGGTCCTTAAATGAGCACCCCTGCTCGCCTAATCAAAGGATCGGCCTCTACTAAACATGATATGTTATTTCGAAAACACATGTGTTCTTATTCCGGTTTGTTAGCTAACCTTACTATTTGATGTGCACAGTACACAAGTATAGACTAAATCACTCGATTTGGAACAAAACATCTCATGTTCATTTTTTTCGAAAATGGTTTGGAAGTGCTACTCGCAAGTAGGCTAAAACGTGGATTTGCCAACCTCAAGTGGGCTTAAAACGACATGATTTGCCACTCCACAAAGTGGGCTTAAAACTCACATTTGATGAATTGCTCCAATTCAAACAATAAATCCTTCACCCACAGGCATTCATGTAGTTAAACACTTGGGCAAATAGCCTCATGACAAGCATGCTAAACATGGCAATATTCACACTCATGCAAGTATGCTAAAGCGTAAACACTTACAGTGTACTCCGAGCCAAAACAGAAAACTAGTTAGAAATCATACATGATCCTAGCTATGTCGAAGATGCCTAATGCAACACATGCAATAATGCAACTAATAGGCTCGGCTATCTAAGATGGAATGTGAATGCAACACTTGATAACATGCTTTGGAACACGTATTCAAGAAAACGTATTGAAATACAATGCAGTTTGAATGATGCACCGAGCCCGGCACATGCAATACAAATGAATGATGCACGCATGCAAAGCATAAGGTATGCTAATTGAAATATGCCCTAAACTATCCATCAAAAGCTGATAAGTAAAAGGGAGAAAGAAATGGGCTCGGAAGACATGCACACACACATGCACCCTTATTAAAACACTGTGCCCTCGCAAAGAAGGGTTCGAATAATAAGAGCTGAGCTAAGCTACTTATTACAAATCAACTAATTAACTATGCTAAGCTAATTAATTACAAACCGAATTGAAACTAGGTATACTAAGCTAATTAGAATATTACAAAGACGAATTAAATTAGCTAAGAACATTAACTAATTAATTACAAAACTGGCAAATTAACTAGTAAAGTAAAGTAGTAAAATGGCCTCGAGAGCGAGGGAGAGATGCATGCTCGGTTCACTTCCGCTTGGAAATGCACTGCCTTGCCATGAGTTGTCTCTATTTGCACTCACGGCGATGTCAGAACATCATGCACACATCCAGATTGCATCTGCCCCAAAATAGGATGATTTTGGACAATTTTGCTGTAGGTGGCCGGCCGACCACCTCAATTGGTCAGTAGGCTACCTCAACTGGCTGGCCGGCCAGTGCAAGTGGTCGGTCGACTGGTGTAAGTAGCCGGCTGGCCACCTCCCCTTCCAGAATTCCAATTTTACTGCAACGGAGAACAACAAAGGCACATCAATGCATTTGCAAGGAAATGTGTGTGCAACTACTCTCCTTATCATTTCTCAAGCTCAAAGGAGCATAGTACTCGGCTCTCAAGTCACCAATCACGCATTTCAATGCATGATGGCTGAAGAGTCAAGCTTGCACAATGTTAGTGAATGCACAAACAACACATAAGAGCCTCCACCTCTATCATGCACGGTCAAGAGGGTAAGCGACCAAGAAACGTGACACGTTTCATCACTTGGAGTATGAAACATCTCACATTTCTTGTGTTTGGATTAACGTCCGATCCAAACACAATGCAATGCAAACAACATGCTTATCTTTCAATGCTAAAGCGGCATGCATAAGACTCAATCATGCAAACAACGCACGCATAACATGTTATGGGACTAAAATGATGAAACTAGTGAAGGACACAACATTAGAGACATGCAATACAATGCTCCATGGACCAAACCAACCCTAAACAGACCTCATGCATGCCAAAACAGTGGCCAAAAGGTGCAAAGATGAAAGCATAAAAGGGAAGAAAATGCATGCTCAACTTATGGCTCTCAAGTAGGATACAAAGCTCAACTCTCAAACATATTGAAAGAGTGATATATACGAGAGTATGACAGAGATATGAGCACTGAAATCACATGCCAAATGATGACGTATCATGCAAACATCACAAGTATAGCATGCAAGAGGCCCTAAAACTCAAAACTAGTTTAGGCATCACATAAGAGGCATGCAATACATAGCCTAAACAACCAAACCAGCTCTGGACATAGCTCAATGATGCCAAAACAAAGGTTAAAACATGCTGAAAAAGGGAGCCCCAAAAGCTTAGACAAGTATGTATACGTATTGCCTCGTAAACAAAGCATAAGGCGCGACTCTCAAAAGCCTTGAAAGAGTGGAATATGTGAGAGTGTGACTACACTATATGCACTAAAATCATGTGAGAATTAAGGCTAAGGCATGCAATCATCACATACAAAGCATGCTAGGGACTTTGAAACTCAAAGCTAGTCAAAGGCCTTTACACTATAGCTATACAAAGCAAGCCTCAAAGGGCCAAGACCACTTCAAATAGAGTTTAAGTATTCTAAAACATGAGTATAAGCATGCTGGTGTGTAGCCAAAATAGGCTAGAATGGTGGGCTAAAGCGTCAAGCATACAAGGCTAATTAGCAAGATTACAATACAAGTGTAAGAAGCATGCAAGCAATAACCAAACCAACCTAAAACAGAGTTAGAGTAGGCCCCAAAAGTCACAAAAACATGCTTGAACTCAGCTTAAAAGAAGGAGAAATGCATGCTCATTTGGTAGGCCAACAAGACATACAAGCAAGACAAGAGAAGAGGGTACCACCCCCTCCTATTTGGGACGTCAAAACCACATTTCTACCATTGAAATTCCTCTAAAAGTCAGTGGTTAAAAGGCCAAAAAGAGATAGTTCCAAAAGCTTTAAAGGATGGCCCAAAAGCTTAGCAAATAAGGCATACAAGGGGGTGAAACACCCCGAACTCCCACAGGGCCTCAAACAACCATCTTAAACACTTAAAAACAGAGTTTTTTGCAATTGAAAACTAGGCCAAAATAAGCATGCAAAGGTGGCCTAAGATAGTACAAAAACAAGCCTAAAAGGGGTATATGCTTACCCTTGAAGAACCACAGCAAGACAACAACTTCTCTGAGCTAAAACTAGCTTTTTGCGTCCAAACAAGACCCTCGAGTACCTCAACAACAAGGTTGTGGTGTTTGAC